GAATGAGATGACAGTTTGCCAGTACAGGAGACCCTTGAATATCGCGAGGGGTTACATCCTTGGAAAGTGCCAGGAAAGTTAAAAATGCGACATTCAATACTTAACCCTTACATACATAATGGAGCTAGGTACATGGCAATCAAAAATAGACAGCATCATAATTGAAATAAGTATACTATACCGTATGCCAATAAACTAAAAACTAAATAATTTTAATAAACATGGAAGCCCAGTACCCAAGTTCGATTCCTGCTCACGCCTGACACCAGTGACTATTATCTGAATCTGTCCTGGGTCTCCCCTAGGTCAACTCTGCCTCAAACAAGTACCTGGTGCGATATATAAACATCTCCACGAGGGAGACAAAGGCGACCGCGCGTGGTGCTGGCCACCCACCCTCTCGTGTGCGTGCCGGCCTTCATTAGGTGCTCACTAACAGCACTTGCCCCAACAATCTGTTGAATCAATACGGGGGGTCTTTGTCGACGAGATGCTTGCATGGCAAAGGTTGAGGTGCCACATCAAAGCAAAATACAGCAAAACACTTCTCTTAACGTCCCGCAAAATACAGGTGTGTGTGTCATCGTTCGCACCAGAGTGTCGTTTGTTGTACACCAAGAGTCCAAGTTTGTGTCTTTGCCTGTAGACAAGGACCCTGATGACCCTTGCTTACTCCCGTGTTTAACCCCCACACGATCACGAACAAAGCGCCACGATAGTGGCTATGCCATCACTACTTCGCTACGGACCGGACAATCATAGTCACCACTACAGGGCAGGCTGATGGAAACGAATACCAAAACTTTCACTAAACAAGTCCCTTCTCTGTCTGAATATTTACATTTCGCCTATTAACATTGAGGTATATAACCATGTCCAACAACATTTACAATTCGAGTACTACGTTTCGCCATAAATTACAACCAGCCTCATCAGGCAACAGCCAGAGATGTGGATAAATCATCCTCCTGTTTCCGTCTTAAATGGAGGGATAATTGTGATGTCATCACTTGTGAGCCAATTAGGTGTGAAGACCTGAGGTGATATATCGTACTCAAATTGTAAATGTTGTAGGTTTATTCTCCAACACACGACCGGTGTGCTGGACTAGTAACGAATTGGCACGTTTTGTTTACGTGACAAGCCTTCATCATTGGCTGTGTCAGGTGGTGGCGAGTTTAACGACACATTTGTATATACGCGATCTCCCCCCACCCAAAACCTCTATTATGGATATTGGTCAAGAAAGCCTACGTGTTATAAAGTGATGAGTGTGAGTGAACAAGTAAAAGTATTAGATAAGCTCGATATCGGTGAGAGTGCAATGATAACTGTTGCGTTATCATTCATGGCCGATGCGGCCACCTGATGCACAAATGACGCATCAAAGATTCGGCGGCCACGAGTGTGGTCACCAATCCCAAGCCAGCTGCTGTCTTCACTCCTTTAAGGGAGGAATGGACAAGATCCACTCTTCGTCTGAACAGACAATTGAGTGGATAACAAATCTAAAGTTACATATTTAATCTGCTGCTATTAGTACATACGAAAGAAAGAAAGAAAATAAAACGCCTGCATCTCCCAAAAAGTCATGCTCCTGAATTCCTCACCATCACTTCCTACACCGTCATCGTCAAATCATCATCATCATCAAAGGTAATAAAAAAAGTTCTTCATGATTTATTACTTATTTATTGTAGTAATCGTTATTAAACATCTACCATTCCCCCCCCCCCCCTACTATGTTCACTCGCACCAGGAACGTAACCCAATTATTCCCGTTGAGCAAGGTTTCTGCACTCGCGAATTCTGCATTCGCGAGCGTTTTTAAGAATGTATTCCCCGCGACTGGAGAGGGTTTACTCTATAGCTCAGCGGGCTTTACATGGTAAAATACTTAGTTTATAGATAGAGAAATGCAGCATTGCCAGGAGGAGACAGCGTGGCAGAGGCTTCGTATTTGAACGGGGCAGAAAGCGTGAGTGATTTTTGTGTTCTAGATTTGAAGCTTTCGTGACTGCAATGATTCATATTCTTAGGTTTTTTCGGTAAAGTCACGTAGGTAAAAACATTAAAAAGTAAAATAAAATAAAAATCACGACGTTTCGGAGGCAACACAAGCTTCCGTCTTCAGGTGGTACCGTCACAGCCACGACAGCTGTATCAAGTAAATGAGAGATTGCAGGAGTTACCACTGCGTTTATATAATGGTTGGAGAAGGTGGTGGGGCAAGGGCCGCATACTTATTATTAATATGGTAAGATGAGGTTTGAGACTAAGAATAGATTGCATAACAAAGGCTGAGCCTTTGTTATGGAGAGGTGCGGTTTGTGACTCAACCTGTAACAAGAAGACCACCACTAAACATGGTTAAACAGTAATGGTTGTCTGTCAAATAAGATTGGCAAATAAGTGTAGTTAAATCTTTTTTGCATGGTTAATCACATCTTTCCAATGATTACTCAGTTTGTAACCGTCATCACGGTTGAAATTATGTTATTTTATTTTACGTTTTAATGTTTTTACCTACGTGACTTTACCGAAAAAACCTAAGAATATGATTTGTGTGTTGTTTTAACTTTATACCTTCATAAGATAATACAGACGCTTAGACACATAGGTGTAAACAGCCATTCAGATAGTGAAATTCAGTTAATTTAGGTCGATTTAATAACCTAAATCGACGTAATTTATGGAAACTGAGAGAAGGGGCGTGTTTAGTGAACATGTTGGTATTTATTGTCATCAACCTGTTCTGCGGTGGTGACTACGATCGTACGGTCTGTAACGAGGTGAACCTACCCGACTGGTGACGGCCTAGCGACTACCAAGCCATTGTTCGTGATGGCGTGCGTGTCGAACACGAGATCAGCAAGGGTCAGGGTTAGTCATTCTGGTGTTGTCAGCGTCGTTGAGACGTTTCTTTGCTGGACTGCGCTTTAATGTGTCTAATCTGTCACCAAATCAAAAACCAAGCTACTCTGCCTCATTACAGATTATCCCAGTGAATGTCATTTCCCCGTATGTGACAATCATCAACATCATCAACACCACCATCATAACCACCACCATCATCACCACAGAACCAGTCGGAGCTCACTAATCAGTCTAAGACATCATCACCATCATTATCAGTGTGTGGTGAATGAGAGTGGTGAGACGAAATTTCAATTTAAAGCTTTCGTGACTGCAGGGATTCATCTTCTTGGTTCTTTCGGTAAAGTCACGTAGAAGGAAAATAATAAAAAATAAAACATAATAAAATAATTATCACGACGTTTCGGCCACAACGCAAGCAGCCGTCTTCAGGTGGAGAACAGGTCTGTCGAGAAGGCCTTCTCGACAGACCTGTTCTCCACCTGAAGGCCTTCTCGACAGACCTATTTTCCACCTGAAGACGGCTGCTTGCGTTGTGGCCGAAACGTAGTGAGAATTATTTGATAATGTTTTATTTTTATTATTTTATTATTTTCCTTCTACGTGACTTTACCGAAAGAACCAAAAATAAAAAGTGGTGAGACTGTTTATGTGATGATAGTGTGTGGTGAGTGTGTGAGTGGTTAGAGTTCGCACCTTGAGGTGAGGTTGTGTATGTGTGAAGAGGATGTCGTGTGAGTATGGTGAGACTGGAGTGAGTGTAGTAAGATGACGGAGTGTGGTGAGGCTGTGGTAATGTGGGTTTGTGTGGCTCTGGTGAGTAAATGTGGTGAGGCTGTGATGATCATGTAGGTTGTGAGGCTGCGGTGAGGCTGTGGTAATGTGGATTTGTGAGGCTGCGGTGAGTGCGTGTGGTAAGTGTAGTATTGACGATGAGGTTAACTGGTGGCGAAATGGTCCGGGAAGCAATGTCTTCAGTATGAGTTATATGGCTCTCCGACTCACCAGCCCTGCTCCTGGCCTCACAAGCTGCGCCTCGGATTTCCTACGGAGCTGGCCCTCTGCTCCCTTCGTCGGCCATCCTCTACACTGCGGCTTTGGCCACAGCTGCGCCCGTGTCAGTCCATCAACAATGCAGCCTCAATTAACCTATCCTTGTTATCCAGCTCAGCCACAGATGCTTCAGCGCAATTCGTTTTTTTAGTCTTAGCAGCCTGCCAAGAATGTCTTCCCATGTATCCTATATAACTGTTGTGCAATGCCCATCCTATTCGACTTGTGCATTGTGCGATGTTGGATCTATGGGTAATAAGTCATTGTTGATTCATGATCTTGTCAGTGATATCGACACTTTTTATTTAGTTTTTCACTGAAACCTGACATTCACATGCTTGAGTTAAGTTGGGCTACACAATTCATCATGACCATGAACTTGCTTAAACTCAGTGGTTGAGCCGGTCGCTAACATCGCACTGCTCGCCCGAGACCTCGCCCGGGACCTTGCTCGTCATCCTGGGGGATACGGAGAGGCCGACCCACGTCCATGTGTTTGCAAGGAGCGATTACTGCGATGCTGTTCTTTCGTGTTCCCACCCGAGTCCTCGGTGAACTTGTTCATGTTTTTGTTTTTTGTTTGTTGCGGTTGCACCCGATTCAAGAGCCGAATGGCTCACAGGGCTATACCAAATAAATGAAACTGAAAACTGAAACTCAGCTGCTAGAATCTTATCAAGAAACCCAGCCGAGCCCTATGAAGTTCAGATTGAAGTTTAACATTCTCCTTTTTGACCTATGAGGCTCCCCAAAGTGGACAAGTTGGTTACCTTACAGCCTCACCGGGGCCTTGTGCTTGTGTGGCCACCCCGAAGGCTTCATTCTGCCCCCCCCCCTAGTTTAAGTCCCAGCTTCTTCGTTTTTCCTCTCCTTGGACAAAGATTTGTTTATGTTGTGATGTGCCATTGCCTTGAGTACCTTGTAGGAAAGCGCTTTATTAATATGCGTTATTAGCGTGCATGTCGAGGATGTGGTGAGACTGTGGCGAGTGAGGTGAATGAGTGAGTTATTGTGGCGAGGCTGTGATGAATGTGGCGAGGCTGTGGTGAATGTGGAGTGAGGGCTCGCACCTCGTGGTGAGCGTCAGCATGCTGATGCCGATGTATCGTCGCTTCATCTCGTTCTTCTCTGTGAAGACGACGAGGATATCATCATCGCCATAACGACAAAAAGGGGGGGGGGGGTTGGAGGAGGAAGAGAATGTGCATGAGCGGGAAGAGAAGGGGGAGGGAGGAGTAAGGGGAGGGGGAAGTGAGGAGGAGGGAGGGAGGAGGAAAGGGAGGATGAAAGGAGGATGGGAGAAAGAGAACGAAGCAGTGCCGGATTAAGCTGGTGCGGGGCCTGTAGAATTTGTTATAAAGGGGCCCTAAGTAAAAAAACACATACATATTAAAACACACATTTTGTACTTGCACAGTAAAGTAATTATATTTTTTCATTTGCTATACAGGCAGATAATACGACAAAATGCTAACCTTAAACACGCAGTCGTTCATACAAGTTGAAGGCAGTATAGTACTATAGTATTAGAGCAAGTGTAGAATCACTGATAGCTTGAAAGCATTTGGTGCGGGGCACTTGAAAGTTCGGGGCCCAGAGCATATGCTACTTTTGCTGCACTGGAAGGAAGGTAGAGGATTAGGGAGGGAGGACTCCCCACCTCTGGTCTGCCGGTGGTGCGACTCGGAGAGGAAGAGGCGAATGCGGTCAGAGGGGATCGCAAACGAGATCCCAGCAGCCACCTTGAGCGCATTGATGCCAATCACCTCGCCATCCTAGCTCATCAACACCATCAACATCATCAACATCATCAACATTATCACCTCCAACATCACTACCGTCATAATCAACATCATTGCCTACCACTTGGTTTTCCCGGGCCATTGGTTCAGGGAAAGCTGCAGTGGTGGCCACCATCTTTTCAACCTTTTCCACCTTTTCCCACCCACCTTGTGGACCCTCCATCAACTGCCGCATTTCCCCTGGTCCCCTGTGTGGTCATTGGTCGCGACCTTGCTGCCCGCTGGCTCATCTTTAGCGGCTATTATGTGGCTGGGAGGTTACCTGCATACATCAGCGCGGTCCTCTCGGCGGCGTCTCCGGCTGGCTAAACCGGCTTGGTTGATCCGGTGTCGCTTCTGTCACTAAAACACGTCACCTACTTCTGAAATGTAGCAACGAGTTACTCGCCTGATTTTCTGCTGGGCCTGAAATACACTTCCGCATCATCCTGACCCAAGCGCCCACTCGGCTTGTCAACTGCGGGGATTAATACAACGACGGCCTTATGTACAGTACACCGTAGGTGTACAGTCGGAGAATGCATTCATCAATTGACCTGACTCATGCGAACAAATGCATCATTAATTCTCATCGCTGGTTCCCAATCTCATATACCCATCATATCGCATAGACTCCGTCATCTGCCACTCGGCAAGAATCAATGGTCTCCTCCACAAACTCTCATCCCGTCTACACCTGCCCCACATTCTGTATACCCATGATGATTACATTTTCCTTATTAAACATTCTCTGAATTAACAATACAACATTGAGTATTGATGATTTTCCTCTGGAGGGGATGACTGAGGGTGCCACGGTGTCTGGATGTTAACTGCCTCGCCTGGTATACAGGAGGTAGTGGGTTAGATTCCGACACTGAGGCCTACATATTTGGAGTTTGCATGTTCTCCCCGAGGTCGCGTGGATTTTTCTTTCGGTCATCCGGCTTCTCCCCCCACATTCGGAAATAGGCGTTTAGAGCATTTGGCTGCTGTAAAAAAAAATCCACATGATAAGCTATTATTTGTGGCAAGGTTGCTTTGAAAAAGAGCTTTGTATCTCAGTGGGTCTTACCTGGTAAAGTAATATGTAGTGTAGCTATTATCTGCCTTACTGGAACGTGAAATTCATCATTCGATGTTCTCCCCTTTCTTAAATCAGTTCCTTCACGTTTCCACTTCTTTGAACGTGCTCGGCCTATAGGTTGATAATAGGGGTTTTCCCCTTTTTCTGGCAACAAAACTGAAACCTTTTTACAAGTGTAATGCGGGCGTAAATGACCTTCCGGATGTGACGTCACGAGGGGGAGGAGTTACGTCACGTAGGGGTAAGGGTTCAGGTCTTAAAGGGGAGAAACCGGAAGAGGAGGGGAGTGATCGAGGACTGAGCTTGAGTGGGGCCACGCAGGGCGAGAGCTGGGGGTGGCGAGATCGCCACACACGCACAGAGTACGGTCGGCACCGTCGGCCAGCGGTGACCGACCCCGGAGGAACCAGGAGCAGCCGAGGGGGCTGTAACGAGAGCAGCCGGAGCGGCTGCCCGAGAGGACCAGCAGCGGGGCTGCCTACGAGAGGGAGAGACAGCAGCCGGAGAGGCTGCAGCGGGAGCAGCCGGAGAGGCTGCCGAAGAGTCCAGCAGCGGGGCTGCTGAAGAAAGGAGAGAGAGGCTACAGCAGCGACAACAGCGTCAGCCGCAGAGTGGAGAGTCTATGCGAGAGAGCCGTGTGGGGAAAGAGGAGGCGAACCCGAATAAAGGACACCAAGCCAGATACCGTAGTCGAGTCCTTTATTACACTGGTGTCGGCATGTCAAAGCAACTAAGAAAAAAGAATATTCCGACGCCATCATCTGCTTCATCATCCGACGATGACGGCCTCCCTCCAGCGATGGACCCAGCTGCGTTGGTGGAGGAGACCCGGCCTGGAGCGAGTGCGGGTCCGGGGGTTCAAGATGTCGCCGCGTCGGCGGGCCCGTCAGCACCAACGGACGCGGATTTCCGATGGGCACAGATGGCGGAGCAGCTTGAGACGCTCAAGAATGTGTTGGCGCAGTTATGTGCCCTCGTAACGCCGAGGACGGCGTTTGGGGGAGCCGAGGGTGGTCCACAGGCCGCCGCCTTGCCTTCGCCGTCGACGCCATCAGCCACGCGGCACGAAGACGCCATCTTGGGGGAAGGACGGCGGGAGGCCGCCATCTTGCGCTCTCCGCGACGGGAAGCCGCCATCTTGACCACGCCGCGATGCGACGCCATTTTGAACCTGCCACCGGAGGATTCATCGCTTGAGGACGGCGCGCCAAGGAGTCGCAGTCGTCATCTTACTACGGTCAAGGAATTCTCCATCGGGGGCGATTGGAGCGCTTTCGCCTGCAGATTTTTGGCGGCGGTACGCTCTGCAAGGTGGACTGACGCTGAGGCTTTGGAAGTGCTGCCGACTCTTCTGGATGACGAGTCGGTCAGATTCTTTCGTTCTATAACGGCCGAAAAGAAGAAAACATTACGAGGAGTTTTTGACGAAATGGCGGATGCTTACGAGCCACCCGATGATGCTCATCGCCGATTTGCTCAACGACAGCGAGCGCCCGAGGAGTCGCCGGTGACGTTTAGGGGTGCGGTGCTGGAGTTGGCTATGGCCGCATATCCGGAGACGAAGCCTGACCTGCTCGAGCCTCTCATCTTGGGTAAGATGCTCGAGCTGTCCCGGGATCTGGGGATCCCCATGCCGATGTGTGGCCACGAGAAGCTGACGTCCCGGGCGGCAGCTAAATGTCTGGACGCCCAGTTTAACCTGCGCCGGTGGAAGCAAGTCGCGGCGTGGACGGGGGGACCCATCATCGAGGGAGGTGCCGTGGGTTGGGACCCTAAGAAGGCGGTATACGTGCCGGATGAGGGGAGCCCGCAGGAGCTGACGGCCGCCTCGGGTCCATGGTCGGGCCGCGGTAGGCCGGTCCCGCGTGCTGCACCGCCGGCACGGGGCCGTCGGGACGCGGGGCCTGCGATGCGGCGCAACGACGTTGACTGCTTCCGCTGCGGGCGTAGGGGCCATTACGCCAGGGACTGCTGGGCCCGTATCCCGGATCCGCCCCAGTAGGAGGCCTCGTCAATGGACGCGCCAAAGAAGGAACCTCCAAGACAGGCAAGTCGGTGCGCACCAGACACCCGGCAAGGCTTTACACCTCACCCATCACCGTTGTCGTGCGATCCGGGTGTTGTTATTAACGAGAGGCCATCGACGGGGCCATGTCGCTCGGTGACACAGTGGCGTAAATTGGCACGGAGGGTCGTCGCGGCCGCTACTGGTTCGTCTACTGTACCGGGGTCTATACAAGGGGTGGACGTGCGTATTTTGGTTGATTCCGGTGTGTCCGCGACCATTATATCGGATGTCATTTTCCATCTCCTGGGCATCCCACCGATGGCCGTGCGTCCGGTATACGGGTCGTGCGTCGCTGCGAACGGGGGTAGCATGGGCATTGTGGGACAGGTGGACGCTAAAATATCTATCGGGGAAGTGTCGGCCTCGGGAATAGTGTTAATTTCAAGATCTCTGACTGTTCCTTGTTTATTGGGCACTGATTTTCTGGCTAAGATGCCCATTTTGATTAAAATTAATGAGAATTGTATTGAATTGCCGGGTGGCCGCAAAATTTCGTTTCTGCCGTCGCCCTGGGGGCGACCTGTTCGCCATCCGCCACCATAACGGCCGGATTGGCGCTGGTTGGGGCGCAGACCATTGTCCGGCCGGACCAACAACCGTTTTTGCAGGTGCTCAATGCGAGTGCCGAGCACGTATGTGTTCCGGCTGGTACGGTGGTGGGACATGCCACTACGGCATTTACGGCTCAGGATTGCCTGCACAGCCAGGGTGTGGTTGATGGAATTTCGGTGTCGAGAGCTTCGGATGATCGCTGGATTGCTGACTTATGTAGGGAAAATTCTTCCCTGTCCGAGGAACAACGGGGTGCGATTCGTAAATTGTTATTGGCTTATTCGGATGTGTTTAGCTCTGACGATTTGGATTTAGGACGCACCTCGTTGCTTTACCATCATATTGACACAGGGGACGCTGCCCCTATTCGGTTGAACTCGCACCGGATGAGTCTGGCTGAACGAGAACATGTTCGGGGGGCAGTGGATGACATGTTGGCTGCGGACATAATATCTCCATCTAACAGCCCATGGGGCGCGCCTGTTGTTTTGGTCAAGAAAAAGGACGGCAAAATGCGATTTTGTGTTGATTTCCGGAAATTGAATAAAATATCGGTGGCAGATGCGTATCCCCTGCCGCGTATGGACGACTCCCTCGATGCCTTGTCGGGGGCCAAGTTCTTTTCGACGCTAGATCTCTCTTCGGGATTCTGGCAGCTCCCCCTTGACGAGCCCTCGTGGGAGAAAACTGCATTTCGTACGCCGCAGGGGTTGTTTCAGTTTAATTGTCTCCCGATAGGGCTGAACGCGGCCCCTGCCACATTTCAAAGGTTGATGGAACTTGTGTTGACGGGGTTGCAGTGGGAGACATGTCTCATATATTTGAATGACATTATCGTCTTCAGCCGCACATTTGATGAACATTTACGGCGGTTGGAGTCGGTGTTCACGAGGATGCGTTCCGCGAATTTGAAATTTAAACCTAAGAAATGTCACCTACTGCAACGGTCCGTCCGTTATTTGGGGCATATTGTGAGTGCGGATGGGGTTGTTACGGATCCGGAGAAAACAGCGTGCGTCCGGGATTGGCCAACCCCGGCCACCGTGGGGGATGTACGTCGCTTTTTGGGATTTGCCTCATATTATCGGAGATTTGTTCCGAATTTTGCGACGATCGCGAGGCCCTTGCACCTCCTTACGGGTAAGGGACGAAAATTTGGTTGGGGACCGCCGGACAGAGGCGGCTTTTCAGGGCCTGCGCGATCTACTGGCAACGGCGCCAACGTTGGATTATCCGGATTTCGATCACCCCTTCATTCTTGATACGGACGTGAGCGACACAGGCATTGGCGCGGTGTTGTCTCAGTCTAAGGGAGGTGTGGAGTGCGTGGTGGCGTACGGTAGTTGGGTTTTGTCTCCCGCAGAAACCCGCTACTGCGTCACTCGCAGGGAACTTTTGGCTGTTGTTTTTTTTCTACGCCAATTTCGACCGTACCTGTATGGTCGTTCGTTTATTGTACGCTCGGATCATGCGGCCTTGCAGTATGCTCTTAAAATGGACCAGCCATCCGGCCAGTTGGTGCGTTGGTTGGACACGCTGCAAGAATTTTCCTTCCAAATTCACCATCGGAAGGGGGTGCGCCACGCCAATGCGGACGCACTTTCAAGATTGCCGCAGCGCTCCCCTTGCGCGTGCGCGTCGGGGACGCATAGGTGTGCGCTGATTCAATCTCCCCCTCAGCCGGTTGTGCTGGCTGTCAAGATGCCGGATGCTCCGATGGAGCCGGGTCCGACTGATGGGGTTTTGAATCTGCCACGGTCTGTGTGGATTCGGGAGCAAATGTTGGATGATTCGTTGTTGTCCTTACGGAAGCGGTCTGTGGGGGACAAGGGGAGTCCGAGTACGGGTGGGGTGCCGGAAACCGCTCTCCGGGATGGTCTGCTCATGTGGCGGGAAGGCGTCCAGGAATGCTGGCGTCTGGTAGTGCCGGCGTCCTTGCGATACGAATTGATCCGAACTCTCCATTGTGACACGCTCTTACATCTGGGTGTTCAAAAGACCTTATTGACGTTGCAACGTCATTATTTTTGGCATGGCATTGCGACAGATTTCGTCGGGCACGTGCGTGCGTGTCCAGATTGTGCCCGGCGAAAGCCACCTAAACATCCTTATGTGCCGCCGATACAGTCCATTCAGGTGTCTCGAGTTAATGAATTGGTGGCACTGGACATTTTGGGACCCTTCCCACCATCTGCGAGGGGTAATAAATATTTGCTGGTTGGGGTGGAATACCTCTCCCGTTGGCCGATGGCCTGGCCGTTGCCCGACCAATCGGCCGCGGCTATTACCGACGCCTTTCTGTTTGGGTACGTTATGGACAAGGGTGCGCCGGAGAGACTCCTCACAGACCAGGGCCGAAATTTTTCTTCTAAATTGTTGGCGGAAGTGTGCGCAGCTCTTGGGACTAAGAAAATACGGACATCTCCATACCATCCGCAAACGGATGGTATGGTCGAACGGCTAAATCGGACCTTGTCCGCCATGTTGTGCCACACGGTGAGTGAACAACAATCGGATTGGGATTTGCACATCCCTGGGGTGCTTTCGGCGTACCGTATGACGCCGCATGCGGCTACAGGATATTCGCCGTTTTTCCTGATGTATGGTCGGGAAAACGTGCCACCGATGGATGTGCAGTTGGGTACCGGGGTGAGGGGACCTGGTAAGCCACTTCCAGATTACATCCGAGACACCGTTCGCCGGGTCACGGAGGCGCGGGAGGGGGCCCGCGTGGCTACGGCCAAAGCTCAGGCCCGGAACGAGCGGTATGCTCGGCGCTCTAAGGGGGAGTGCCCCTGGAAGGTTGGGGACCTGGCCTGGCTCCATTGTCCGCAAGTGCGGCCAGGTACCTCACCTAAGTTGCACAAGCCATGGCAAGGGCCCGTCCGCCTCATTGAGGTTCCCAACTCGCAGTCGGCACGTGTTCGGATTGGATCTCGTCGCTGGTTCGTTCACACTTCGCGTTTGAAACCATATGTTGCTCCTCTACCTGATGCGTCATCTCCTGATGTTGCCTTGCCGGGGTCTGTTGCTGCCGACTCACCCTTGCCTACGTCCGTTGATCTTGCAAGAGCACCTGTCGTGCCTGTTGCAGACAGACCGGCCGTGACGCCGCAGGTGAGGAGGGGCTCTGCTCGGGGGGTGCCTGCCAGGACTGCGGGAACTCCGAGCCCCGCAGCCCTTTCGACCCCGCTGCCAGCACAATCGCAGGACACCTCCGTGGCTGAGCCGTCGGGTACACGGGACCGGGATGCTGGTGGGCCTCCGACAGCGACAGGAGGATTGCGGCCTTTTGCTCTTAAGACCCCATCACGCTCCCGCTCTGCGGGAGGGCCGCCGACCGTCCGGGACGGGCCGGCGACCCGCACACATTCTAAATATCTCACGTTTCGTTAATTGTTCATGTTGTGTTATTGTTCTTGCTGTTATATTTATTGCATGCTTTGTGTCCTTTGATGTGTCTGGGTCGGTTTCGCTCGTTACTTGTTCATGTGGTGTTGTTGTTCTTACTGTTATATTTATTGCATGCTTCGTGTCCTTTGGTGTGTCTGGGTCAGTTACGCTCGCATTACTTGTCAGAGGTTTTGTTCAGCCGAGGACGGCTGGGTTTTCTCTACGGGGGAGGGTGGTGTAATGCGGGCGTAAATGACCTTCCGGATGTGACGTCACGAGGGGGAGGAGTTACGTCACGTGGGGGTAAGGGTTCAGGTCTTAAAGGGGAGAAACCGGAAGAGGAGGGGAGTGATCGAGGACTGAGCTTGAGTGGGGCCACGCAGGGCGAGAGCTGGGGGTGGCGAGATCGCCACACACGCACAGAGTACGGTTGGCACCGTCGGCCAGCGGTGACCGACCCCGGAGGAACCAGGAGCAGCCGAGGGGGCTGTAACGAGAGCAGCTGGAGCGGCTGCCCGAGAGGACCAGCAGCGGGGCTGCCTACGAGAGGGAGAGACAGCAGCCGGAGAGGCTGCAGCGGGAGCAGCCAGAGAGGCTGCCGAAGAGTCCAGCAGCGGGGCTGCTGGAGAAAGGAGAGAGAGGCTACAGCAGCGACAATAGCGTCGGCCGCAGAGCGGAGAGTCTATGCGAGAGAGCGGTGTGGGGAAAGAGGAGGCGAACCCGAATAAAGGACACCAAGCCAGATACCGTAGTCGAGTCCTTTATTACACAAGGAATCATGTGTGGACCAATCAGTTTCGAGGACAATGCATATATTATCAGAGTGTGTTTTTTGTTTACATTTTGACCACACGTATTGTCGTTAATGCACACATGATTCCTTGTAAAAAGGTTTCAGTTTTGTTGCCAGAAAAAAGGGGAAACCCCCTATTATTATATTTTAGTACTCGTAAAGGAGGTCTAATGACATATATAGGTTCTTCCTCTTGGCAAACTCATTTCAAGCTTTTGGTATAAAACACAATTTCCTGAACATGATACACAGATTAATTATTATTTTCAATCAGTCTGATTTAAATCCACTTTCCACCCTGACGTCCTGTCTTACTGCAACTTCTGACTGGCTCGCAGAAAATTTTCTTCAACTAAATAACTAGAAAACGGAAGTTCTCTTAGTTGGGCAAATCAATTACCTCACATCAGCAATCTACCGTCGGTCTGCTTGACTCTGATCTTCATATTCGTCAACAGGCACGAAATTTGGGGTTCATTCTTGACTGTAACCTCTCCTTTTATTCTCACATATCCTATATGTGCAAGCCCGTTTACTTTCATCTCATCTTCGTAACATTTCCCGTATCCGAAACTCTCTCCGATATGACTGCCGAAGCAATAGACGACTGCTATGTTTTTTTTAATTTGGTCTTCCTTCGTTTCTCATCCAACGTGTGCAGTACAGCCAAAGCGCAGCTGCAAGAGTACTTACTCATACCCGTAAGCATCATCATATTACGTACACCCACTTCACGACCCCTCCACTGGCTACCTATTCGGTCTCTAATCACCTTCAAGGATGCATTGTTTTCCAAATTCTTTGTGGACATTGGAGCGATTGGTATAAATGAGTCGTTACCTTTTTGGCACTCCATCACCGCCCCTTCTATGAAGGTTTCCTGGCTTGGTTGAGAAGTTGGGACTGTGCTCTGGGATGTGTAGTAGACCTCATGGACTGATTTGTTGTTGTGATAACCTTTGTTGTTTGTGCATTTTGTTTTGGTGACAATTGTTTATTAATTTTGATTTTGCTTGGTAGTAGTAGGGTTTTCATTTACTTGGTAGTAGTTCCTGTATAAGGTAGTTGGTCCTTATATAATTAATGTACAGCGTTGTACATTAATCTTAATTTATATAAAAGGGAAATTTGTGAATATGTGTGTCTGTTCAAAATGTTTAGCATACTGCCCAACATGCAACAAACTTGAAATTTGACATGTGGGTACTTTCCAGACTGTACACCATGCAAAAATTATAAAAAGATACTTTTGGGGGGGGGGGCGCAATAATGCATCTATTTTGCACGGCAAGTAAGCTGTGACGTCACATCTGTCATGTCGCCCGCATGCGGAAACGTAATGCGGTGTGCCTGCTGACGTCCGCATTCTCCGCGTAGGCCGTGTATCCCGCACAAATGCGTGGCATAGCTGTCTCGATTTTCTAAGTCAACGCGACAATTTTCAGTTCGCTATTAAATATAAAGCAGAAAATACATCTGTTTGTGTGAAGCAGCAAAAACTCTCGACGGCTGATCTCTGACGTCATGAAATTTGCACCGCTCATGCTGCCTGGAATTTCTAAGGGAACGCGACAATTTTCAGCTCGCCACGTAATTCCCTTCCCGAGTTGCCTAAATCGACCTTGCGTATAAGTGGGTTAGGGTTGAATTTCCTTCAGTGAAAAACATCCGATTAGTTCCATTGATTTGTTACGGCTTTTTTCTTTATTGCAAGCAGGAATTTTTTCAGGGGTTTTCAGTGAAATATAAGGGAATATGAAATTAATCCTAGACAAGAATCCAAGTACCAGGCGAAGCAGGGTAGTAAAGCTAGTTATTTATAAAATGAAAGTACGTTTATTATTATCACTACCATCACTACAACCAACGTGAACATCATCATGGTTATTACATCATCGCGCAGGCTGCCTCATCATCGTCGTCGTGGTCGCACTGTGTTTGACAGCCGGTGCCCCAGAGTAGGGTCAGGGTCATGTGACATCACTCACCAGGTTGACGAGCGGCCCTCCAGAATTACCGTACTGCAATGACATCACCAACATCATCATCACCATCGACACCAGCATCACTGGCATCACCATCATTAACATCATCACCAACATCACCGGAAACTATCAATATTACCAACATCATCACCACTGTCAAATCTGAGTTTTTGGGCAAGAGTGAGAGTATGTGAATGAGTGTGAAAGTGTGTGTCAGAGAGAGTGCTAGATTGTGTGTTAGCATATGTGAGAGTGAGTGTGAGAGTGTGTGTGAGAGAGTGCGTGAGAGTGTGAGAGTGTGTGACAGTGAGAGAGTATGGGTGAGAGAGTGCGTGAGAGTGAATGTGAGAGTGTGTGTGAGAGAGTGCGTGTGACAGTGTGCGTGTGTACGGGAGTGATAGTGTAGCGGTTAGCGCGCTGTGCTAGGAAGCTGGCGACCTGAGTTCGATTCCCGCTCATGGCCGACATCAGTGACGATAATTAATCTAAACCGGTCATGGGCCTCCGCTAGATCGACTCAGCCTCAAATTAGTACCTGGTGTGATGTGTAAATATTGCCACTAGGGAGACAAAGGCGGCGGGGCGTGGTGTTGGCCACCCACCCCCTTGTGTGCCGTTCTGGCCTTCATTAGGTGTTCGCTAACAGAACTTGCCCCAACAGTCTGTTTAGGCTATATGGGGGATCTTTATCTGGCAAAACAACCCCCTACCTCCTCGTTGGTGCCGGACGGTAACGCTGTGGTGAGCAGTGCCATGGCGGGAGGGCAAATTTCGATTGGCCATTCCCCTCATGCCAAAGGGGGCTCTGGACGGGTGCGAGGGGCTGGTTACCCCTCCACCTTCAATTCAAGTACCACTAAATTATGGAAAAAACATGTACTTAAGCTTGTGCCGGAGGCCCCAGGGTAACATGCGTCGATGACGTCTCCTGGCCAAACCCCATTTGGCAGAACCAGGAGATTTAATCTTTACCCTCGGGGTTCCTCCAGAAACAGCCAAAAGCCACTGCGGGTGGCCACATGGAATGTTCGAATGCTCACTGCAGAGGAGAGGCTGCCACTCCTCTGTCAGAAGCTGGACCGGTACAGCCTGGATCGCTGTGGTATTCAGGGGGTACGGTGGACCGGCTCTGGCTCCTACCACCATGAGGGGTCGACAGTCCTCGACTCGGGGCAGGAGACTGCGAAACAACAGGGAGTGGCTCATCTTTTGAACAAAAGAAGGAAGGGGGCATGGAAGCGTGGCGGTGTGGAAAGCTGTAAGCCCCAGAGGCAATGAGTGGTGGTCGTGGTTACTTATGCCCCCACCAAATACGAACATCAGTGGAGGGATGCAGGCAAGGCTGATGAGTCAGATGCCTTCTATGACCTGTCACAGGTGCTAGCTAAAGTGGCCCCTTGGGATAGAGTCATCTTCTTGGGTGACTTTAATGCCCGAGTTGGTCATGATGCTAACACCTGGTCTGGAGTGATTGGAAGGTATGGGCCAGATCAGTTCAATCACAACGGTAGGAAGCTGATAGATTTTTGTGTAGCCCATGGGCTTGTAATTACCAACACGCTGTTCTGAGATGATCTTCAAAGCAAAATTCTGAGGGAGAGTGGTGTTTGTGTGTAGACTCTCCTATATAACATCACAATAACAGTCTGGACCACTGAACGGGTTCTGCTGGATTGGAAGGTGGTCCCTCTCTTTAAGAAGGAGGACCGCACAGACTGTAACAACTATAGGGGCATCTCTCTCCTGAGTATGCCCGGGAAAGGTTCTGGCAAGGATTATTCAACATCGCCTTGCCAGGCACGCTTAGGAGAGGCTTGCGTAGCCCCAATGTGGTTTTAGGAAAGGGCGCTCCTGCACAGATGACATATTTTCTGTCTGTCTGCTACAGCAGAGGTATAGCGAATTCCGACAGGATCTACAAAAAAAAGATCTATTATGGAGGACCTACATCTCTGCTTTATTAACCTGATCAAGGCCTATGCTACCATGAATAGGCCTGGGCCCTGGGTTGTTCTTCATGCTTTCGGAGTCCCTAACTCTCTGCTCACAAATCATTAAGGACCTTGATGATGGTGGGCAGGCCCGGATAAAACTATTTTGGCAGGAGTCTGAGCCATTCCCTGTTCACTTTGGGGTGTGACAGGGATGTCCTCTGGCTCCCAGATAATTAAACTTGTTTCTTACCACTTAGTTTGTGAAGCCTTCTCTGGCTGTACCGGAGGAATCTCTGTCTGATACAGATACAATGGGAGGCTGATTGATGCCCTGGTGCGGTCAAGGGATGGCACCCTATTGGTCAACCATGTTATGTATGCTGATGATCGGGTCATTGCTGCTCACTTAGAGGAGTTGGAAGTGCTGCTGCTCAATCTGGGATGTGCCACTATGAGGTGGGGCCTTACCATCAGCCCCACAAAAATGAAGCACCTGCCTGGGTATTTTGTGCCATCAAACACTCCACTCCTTCAACTCCCCATTGGTGATGGGGCAGTTGTGAGTGGAGTTTTCCATACCTGGGCAGTGTGCTTATGACCAGCTCTGGTTTGACAGCAGAGGTCTCACTTTGAATCAGTCGAGCGGCATTTGCTTTTCATCGGATGCGTAATACTGTGTGGAAGCTTCCTGGTCTGTCGCTCTACACGAAGCTTCAGGTCTTCTTGGTCACCGTCATGCCCTCCCTTATCTATGCTTGTGAAACGTGGACCCCCCTAAAGGAACATCTTCGCAAGTTATAAACATTTAGGCTGGCCTGCCTACAATCCATCTTGAGTTTAACCAGGCTGGATTGTGTGAGGTCACAAATCCTTGAAAGATCTGGACAAAGTCCCATCGGTGAGCTCCTCCAGCAGGCAAGGCTGCATTGGCTGGGTTATGTAGCCCGCATTCCCAGACACCGTATACCTAAATAGCTTTTTTCAGTTGGATAAAAGGGGCTAAACCGGCGTGGCACGGGCTAGAGAAGAGATGGGGTGATGTGGTACAAGAGGATGTGGAGCTGAGTGGACTTGCTGATTACTGGTACTAGCAGTGTAAAGATCGATCTCTGTGGAGGAGGCTCGTGAAGGACGCTATTGGACAGTTGAAGGCAGTTGCCCTCCAGCAACAACAGAGGAGCGATGCTCACGACAATGAGTGGAGCGCCGGGTGGCTAAAACACAGCAAGTTGGCACATTAGGGGGCACAGGTGGTGCATCGGCCCATCATCTCAGTCAGCCAATCCATGGCACCTGGGTCTGTCCCGTGACCTCCTGCCAGCATGCGTTCGATACTTCACGTGGCCATAAAGTACATCTAGTGGCGAATAGTGTTTGTTGATGTGAGAGTTGGAGTGAGAGAGTATGAGAGTGTGTGAAAGTATCACGGTGTGGTGTTTGGTGTTTTGCGATCCAGGGTGGTGAGTATCACAGTGAGGTGTTGTGCGCATTGTGTTGTGGTGCAGTGTGGTGATTATCGCCGTACCGTGGGTGCAATAAGTATCACGGTGTGGTGTCACGTTGTGGCGAGTATCTCGGTGTGGTGTAACGGTGTGTTACGGTGAGTGCCGTGGTGCGGTGAGTGCCGTGGTGCGGCGCGCACATTGATGATGGCGTCGGTCTGGATGTAGTCGAGGTCGGAGTCCTGCAGGCCCAGCTCGCGGCCCCCACGCTGCGCAGTGCTCACAATCCCGGTGGTCACGGTGTTCTGCAGAGCGAAGGGGCTGCCGATGGCTACCACAAACTCGCCAGGCCGCAGCTCACTCGAGCGGCCCAGCTGCAGGACGGCCAGCGGTTGCTGCACAAATGCACGCCCACATACACACAGTCACGGACGTACACACCTTCACACACGCATACGCAGTCACGCATGTGCAACGACAACCGCCACGAAGTGACGATGACGTCACCGTGGCACTTGTGCCAGGCTAAGTGCCCTTGAAGGCCACGTGAAGTGTTGAACGCCCGCTGGCTGGAGGTCACGAGACAGACCCAGGTGCCATGGATTGACTGACTAAGATCTTCGGTGGGGGCATAAGTAACCACCACCACCACTCCTCGCCTCTGGTTGATGGGAAGGCGAGCCCAAAGTAGCCTGGGGCTTACAGCTTCCCACACTGCCACGCTCCCACGCCCCTTCATTATTTTGTTCTGAAGAGCCACTCCCTGTTGATTGGCAGTCTCCTGCTCCGACTAGAGGACTGTCCACCCCTCATAGTGACTGGAGCCAGAGCCAATCCACCGGACCTCCTGAATGCCAGAGATCCAGACAGTACCGGACCATCTCACGACAGGGGAGTGGTAGCCTCTCCTCCGCAATGAGCGTTCGAACATTCCACGTGGCCACTCGCAGTGGCTTTTTGTTGTTTCTGGAGGAACTCCGAGGGTAAGGATTCAGTCTCCTGCCTCTGACAATTGAGGTTTGACCAGGAGATGTCAGACGTCTGTCTACCCTGAACCTCCGGCAAAAGCTTTGTTCTATATTTTGCACATAGTTCAGTGATAGTTGAATTGAAGGTGGAGGAGTTACCAGCCCCTCGCACACATCCAGAGCCCCCATTTGGCCGCTGTAGTGGCTACAAGCACCATGTGGGGAATAACCGATTTTTGAATTGGCCTTAACTGCATGGCATTTCTCACATCCACCACAGCATTACAGTCCGGCACCATCGAGGAGGTATGATGTTGTTTTTGCATGCACAGCCATGCACTCACGCGCATGCGCACACAAATGCAGTCACAACAACAACCGCCATTCGCCACGAAGTGGTGGTGACATCACCACGGTGTTTGTGCCAGGCTATGTCTAGTCATACACACAAGCACAAGCAGTCATCCAAAAAACGTGTGACGTGAGAGGCAATTAGTGTGACAAGCCACCAGCAGGTGTCTGCAGGGAAATTCGACCGCAAATCGCTGTTCCCATGCCGAATGTTCAACCTAAGGCTAAGAATTAAAGATGGCCACCAAGATAACTACTACAACCTGTTGTGATTTTTTCCAGTTCCAGAGCAGCTTCTCTTGATATTTCAAAACTTTGTACAGGATGTTTGAGGTCTCGAAATTCAATGGAATATTTTTTTAATGTGCAGGAATTATCCGAAATATATGTGAGAACAATTTTTGAAATGTTGTCACATGATTTTTATACACGTGAAAAATATTGTTTTGAAGGTAAAACACCAACCTACGGCACTGCATCAAATGTACTGCTACAAATCTGTTTTCCTGCAAATTACGTGATTCCTTTCAATTCTAAATACGACAAAAATTTGACATTTTACACATCTGACAAGAGCACATGGTTGTACACGGCCATTGCACTTTTTTTGCACATACGGTTCCTGCTTCACGTCCACGTCAAAGCAGGCATCCGCAACGGCATTTACGGGGGGTCAATTTTTCCTACAGCGCCGTTGTTTCCACCCCGAGTCACGTGTAGCATGAAGCTCCCATGTGGACTGCTTTGTCGTGCGAACGCATGATTTGTTGTGACGGTGCATCACTCGCTGGGGACAGAGATTCTATTTGTTTGTTGTTTTGGTGAATGGAAAGTAGTAGACAGAGTCGATGCGGTGCCTGTGGTCCGACCGCCTAAAGCTACACCACAAACTCGTCTGCAGCAGGTATTGCATTGTCAGTGAAAGGAACCTTGCCCATTTCGGAATCTCTCCCACCCTGCATGCTTGCTGAGTGCATCACACCTTGCGGGGATGCAGATGGTGGGTTTGTGTAGTGTGTGGTGTATGAGTGTGTGAGTAAGTGGGTCAATGAGTGTGTGTGTATGAGTGGGGAGCGGTAGTGTAGCAGTTCACCCGCTGGGCTACGAACCCGGTTACCCGAGTTAGATTCGCGCTCACGGCCAACACCAGTGACAATTATCTGAACCAGTCCTGGGACTCCCCTAGGTCGACTCTGCCTGAAATAAGCACCGGGTGCGTTGTATAAACATCACCACTGGGGAGACAAAGGCGGCCTGGCGTGGTGTTGGCCACCCACACCCTCGTGTGCTGTGCCAGCCCTCAGAGATGCTCGCTAACAGCACTTGCCCGGGAGACAAGGTTGTGATGGCCAGATCATGTAGGATGTGGAGCTAAGTGGACTTGCCCAAGACTGGGCACTTGGAGACAGTCGCCCTCCAGCAACATCAGAGGGCATAGGAGAGACGCTCACAACGAGGAGAGCACCAGTCAGCTCAAACGCAGCGAGTGGGGCCACAGGTGGTGCATCTGGTAGTCATCTCAGTCAGTCAACTCATGGCACCTGGGTGTGTTCCGCGATCTCCTGTGAGCGAGCCTTCGACACTTCACGTGGCCGCAAGATTCAACTAGCCTGGCACAAGCGCCATGGTGGCGTCACGGCCACGGCCGTTGTTGTGGTTATTGTGTGGGTGAGTGAGTTAGCGAGCACGTCACACCTGCGGGTGGATGCGGATCGTCGCGATGTCCACCTTGGTGTCCACGTCCGTGACCTCGGCCTCGTACGAGCGGCCCCCACGCAGCGTCACCATGACGACGCGCGTGGCACCCCCGCCCCCCACCACGTGCGCGTTGGTGACGATGAGCCCCTCGTCCGAGACAAGGAACCCCGAGCCGCTCGACACGGGGGCCGCGCGCGCATACGTGGACGGGCTGCGTCGCACCCCACCGCACCACCATACAGCACCATCACGCGTCACACCACATTCACACACCTACCCTGGTGTGTATCTCGATCAAGGCCGTAATTATAATATATATTGGGGGGGACACATCCTCCCCAATATTCAAATATGCTCAAAATGTCCCCCCTCAATATATTGCTATAAAATAGGTTTCTGTTTATATGATTGTGGTTATGGTTGTACTTTATTAATCCCTAATCTCTGCCATTACATACAATGAAACAAGAAAAGGTAAAAAAGAAAAAAACAGAGCAATGTAATACAATACACTATTAGACATTATTGTAAAAAATAAATAAAAAGTCCATCCTATGTGTTAGTGATTTTTTTATTTTAGGCAGGAAATGGAGGGGGACCCCAGACCCCCTGGAAGATGTGTCCCCCCCCCAATGTTGACTCCATGGCTATGGCCTTGATCTCGATGTACACACACACACCTGTTTCTTACACGCACACAGACCTCTGTAAAAGACAAAGGTCCACCGTGCAGCCTACACAGGCTGTGGGGGCAAGTGCTGTTAGCGAAGGCCAGCATGGCACACGAGGGAGTGGATGGACAAACAGCACGCCAGACTGCCTTGATCTGATGTTTACACACCGCACCAAGTACTCAATTAAAGGTCGACTAGATCTAGGGGAGGCCCAGGATTGGTTCAGATATTCGTCAGCAATGTTGGCCATGAGCGGGAATCAGTGCACTAATAACTGCACACGCACATCACACACGGATACACCCCTCTCACACCCCACATACACAAACCTTCAATGCACCCACACACCTCTCCATCACACGCCTCTCCATCACACGCCTCTCCATCACACGCCTCTCCACCACACGCCTCTCCACCACACGCCTCTCTCACACATACATTTCTTACTTTAGTAGTAGGTTTTTACCCTTTTGAAGTGGTACAAAACTGACACCTTTATTCAAGGCATCATGTTTGCAATAACCACAACACAAGTAGTCAAAAAAGCAAACAAAAAGAAGCAACTCTGATAATGATAATAATATGCACTGTCCTTGAAGTTGATTGGTCCACACCCAAGACAGCTTTCTTTAGAGCCTAGTCCCCATTGGTGTTGGACCAGATGACACCAGAAGGCGTACAACTCAAACACAGTGCAATATCAGAGTCTTGAGAGCTCGGGGTAAGCATTTACACTATGAGATCTCTTCTACCAGTGGCAAAATATAGTAGTAGGTTTTTACCCTTTTAAACTGGTACAAAACTGACACCTGAATAAAGGTGTCAGTTTTGTACCAGTTTAAAAGGGTAAAAACCTACTACTATATTTTGCCACTGGTAAAAGAGATCTCATAGTGTAAATTTCTTACCTTCTCACAAATGTGCCAAATTGCTGCATTTTAATCGCCCGGCGCTATGATCATTGTTGTCAGCATCGCTCCTCCGCTGTCTATTGTTGTTGGAGGGCGACTGCCTCCAAATTCTTGGAACACCATTCAGAGAGGCCGATCTTGAATCCGCTGGTACCAATCATAGGCAAGATCACGCAGCACCATATGCTTCTGTACCGCGTAAGTCTATCTCTTCTCTAGCCCATGCCACGCCCATTCAGCCCACTCAGCCCACTCTATCTGGCCAAACAGAAGCTGCTCGGGCATGCCGTGGCTGGGAATGCGGGGGCTACATGATCCAGCCAACGCAGCCTTCCCTGCCGGAGGAGCTCACCGATAGGACTGTGTCCAGATCTTTCAAGGATATGTGAGCTCCTCTCACAACTCAGTCTAGTTAAACGCAGGAAGGATTGTAGGCAGGTCAGCCAGATGTTCAATTAGAGGGCTCCACACTTCGCAAACATATACAAGGGAGGGCATGACTGTGGCCGAGAAGACCCAAGGCTTTGTTTGGAGCGACAGGCCAGATAGCTTTCACATAGTATTACGCAGTCGATAAAAAAGATAATGCCGCTCGACTGATTTGGAATGAAACCTCTGCTGCCAAACCAGAGCTGGGCATAAGACACACAAAAACCATCGCATATACACTCATTCACATTTACACACGCTCCGCACACACACACACACAACAACCGCCATTCGCCACTAAGTGGAGGTGACGTGACTACGGCTCTTGTGCCAGGCTATATGCACTTTGAGGCCACGTGAAGTTTCGAAGGCTCGTTGACAAGAGGTCACGGGACAGACCCAGGTGCGATGGGTTGGCTGACTCAGATCACCGGCCGATGCACCACTCGCACACATACAAAACAAAGATCCCCCGTATAGCCTTAACATACTGTTGGAGCAAGTGCTGCTAGCGAGCACCTATGAAGGCCGGCACGGCACACAAGGAGGTGGGTGGCCAACACCACGCCTGGACGCCTTTGTCTCCCTAGTAGCGATGTTTACACACTGCACCAGGTACTCATTTTAGGCTGAGTCGACCTAGGGGAGGCCCAGGATCGGTTCAAATAATCGTCACTGGTGTTGGCCGTGAGCGGGAATCGAACCCGGGTCGCCAAGTTCGTAGCGCAGCGCGCTAACCGCTACACTACCGCTCCCCACACACACACTGGAACACACACACACAACAACAACAACCGCCATTCGCCACTAAGTGGTGGTGACGTCACCACGACGCTTGTGCCAGGCCATGTGCACATTGAGGCCACGTGAAGTGTCGAACGCCCGCTGGCAGGAGGTCACGGGGCAGACCCAGGTGCCACGGGTCGACTGAGATAACCGATATGACTGGCTGATGCACCACCTGTGCCCCCTACTGTGCCAAACTGCTGTGCTTTAGCCACCCGGCGCTCCGCTCGTTGTTGTGAGCATCGCTCCTCCGCCCTCCGTTGTTGTTGGAGGGCGACTGCCTCAAACTGCCCATTAGCGTCCTTCACGAGCTTCCTCCACAGAGGCCGATCTTGACACTGCTGGTACCAGTCATCGGCAAGTCCACTCAACTCCATGTCCACATCACTCCATCTCTTCTCTAGCCCGTGCCGCGCCCGTTTAGCCGCCTCGATCCGGCTGAACAAAAGCTGTTTAGGCATGCGGTGGCTAGGCATGCGGGCTACAAGACCCAGCCAGCGCAGCCTTGCCTGCCAGAGGGGCTCACCGATGGGACTTTGCCCAGATCTTTCAAGGATTTTGTGAGCTCCTCACACAATCCAGCCTGGTTAAACCCAGGATGGATCGTAGGCAGGCCAGCCTAAATGTTTCTCACCGGCAAAGATGCTCCATTAGGGGGGTCCACGTTTCGCAAGCGTAGAGAAGTGAGGGAATGACTGTGGCCGAGAAGACCTGAAGCTTCGTACGGAGCGACAGACCAGGTAGCTTCCACACAGCGTTACGCAACCGATGAAAATATATTGCCGCTTGACTGATTCGGAGTGAGACCTCTGCTGTTAAACACACACACACACACTGGAAAGCACACACACGCACACTGGAACACACACACACACACTGGAACACACACACACACACACACTGGAACACACACACACACACACTGGAACACACACACACATACACTGGAACACACACACACATACACTGGAACACACACACACATACACTGGAACACACACACACATACACTGGAACACACACACACATACACTGGAACACACACACACATACACTGGAACACACACACACACATACACTGGAACACACACACACACATACACTGGAACACACACACACACATACACTGGAACACACACACACATACACTGGAACACACACACACATACACTGGAACACACACACACATACACTGGAACACACACACACATACACTGGAACACACACACACATACACTGGAACACACACACATACACTGGAACACACACACACATACACTGGAACACACACACACATACACTGGAACACACACACACATACACTGGAACACACACACACATACACTGGAACACACACACACACACTGGAACACACACACACACACTGGAACACACACACACTCGCACGCACCTCTTGAAGATCTCGATGTGCACCACGGCGGGCGCGGCGCGCTGCACCACGTCCGCGATGAAGTTGTAGCGCGCCCGCCGGCTCTCACGCTGTGGTTGGGCCCCGGCACCACCGGGGTCTACAGGCCGCACGAACAGGTACGCAAATACCCCGATGCACAGCAGCACGAGCACGCACGCGCACACGCGCACGCGCACCACCCAGTGCGGCGTCGCGCCCGCACGCACCCCGGAGACACCATGACCGTGGCCACCCTCCTCCTGCTCCTGCCTGGCACCCGCCATCACTCTGCCTGGGAGGCGAACTGATGGAACTGATGGTGGTGCTGGTGATGATGGTTACACTGATTTAGCTGATAACAATGATTCAGCTGATTACACTGGCCAATTAATGGGACTGATTACAATGATTTAGCTTATCACATCGATTTTCCTGATGACACTAAGATAGCTGAAGACACTGGTTTAATTGATCACATTAGTTTAGCTGATAACACTCGTTTTCCTGATGACACTAAGATAGCGAAAGACCCTGTTTGAACTGATCACACTGGTTTAGCTGATCATACGGATTTAGCTTATGATACTCATTTAGCCGATGAAAATAATTCAGCTGATTACACTGGTCAACTAATGGAACTGACTTAGCTAATGACACTGATTTCGCTGATGACACTGATTTAGCTGATGACACTGATTTCGCTGGAGATACTGGCTAAACTGATGGCACTGATTTAGCTGAAAACACTGGATTTAGCTGATGACATGTATTGGATGACAATAATTCAGCTGATAGCACTGGTCAACTCATGGAACTCATTGAACTGATTTAGCTAATGACATCAATTTAGCTGATGACACTGATGTGTCTGATGGCACTGGTTTTGCTGATGACTGATGAAGCTGAAGACAATACTGGTTTCACTGATGACACCGATTCGGCTGATGGCACTGGTTTGACAACTGCTGTATCTATTGCTCATGCTAATGTGCTGTTGCCACTGCTGCTGCTACTGACGATGATACTGATGGTGGTGGTGCTACTAATGCTGATGACGATAAGTTTAGAGCGGCTCAATTCGACTCTGGGTGCCTGGACCCTCGTGGTTCCGCTCCCTGCTTCCCCGGCCCCTCCCCGCGTGTCCCAGCACAGAGGACTCAATGTGGGAGTCTGGGCTAACATCCAACCACAACCACCGAGGTCTGGGGCCCAGTGTACACAGCCAAACGGTAGGGTTCCATAATGCCTAGAGACAGCACAGTGTACACACACATTAGTGTACACACACACACATTAGTGTACACACACAGTGTACACACACATTAGTGTACACACAGTGTACACACACACATTAGTGTACACACAGTGTACACACACAGTGTACACACACACACTAGTGTACACACACACATTAGTGTACACACACACACATTATTGTACACACACTAGTGTACACACACACATTAGTGTACACACACATTAGTGTATGCACACAGTGTACACAAACATTAGGGTACACACACATTAATGTACACACACACATTAGTGAACACACATATTAGTGTACACACACATTAGTGTATACACACATTAGTGTACACACACACACATTCGTGTACACACACACACAGTGTACACACGCACACACATTAGTGTACACACATATTGGTGTACACACACACATTAGTGTACACACACAGTATACACACACATTAGTGTACACACACAGTACACACACACACATTGTACACACACAGTGTACACACATTAGTGTACACACACACATTAGTGTACACACACACATTATTGTACACAGACACATTAGTGTACACACACAGTGTACACACATTAGTGTACACACACACATTAGTGTACACACACACATTATTGTACACAGACACATTAGTGTACACACACAGTGTACACACATTAGTGTACACACACATTATTGTACACACACACACATTAGTGTATACACACACATTAGTGTACACACACACATTAGTGTACACACACATTATTGTACACACACACACACATTAGCGTACACACACAGTGTACACACATTAGTGTACACACACACACATTAGTGTACACACACACATTATTGTACACACACATTAGTGTACACACATTATTGTACACACACATTAGTGTACACACATTATTGTACACACACATTAGTGTACACACACACACATAGCCCATGGGCGAGGTCAAAGAAGTGGTGCCACCCAAGGGACAAATCCCGAGTGGTTCTGAGCTCTTCACGTGGCCAATGAGAGTGACGTTTGGCAGCGCCATCATTTACAACGCGACTCGCCGTTATTTTCCACACAAAGATATTAGAACCAAACGAATCGGCTGTACCCTGTCCGGCATTAATAGAGCAGGTATGAATATGTACAAACACCAAAAAGGCATATATTGGTGGCGGGATGTTGACTACCTCGCCTGGTATGGAGGATATAGTAGTAGGTTTTTACCCTTTTAAACTGGTACAAAATTGACACCTTTATTCAAGGCATCATGTTTGTAATAACCACAACACAAGTAGTCAAAAAAGCAAACAAAAAGAAGCAACTCTGATAATGATAATAATATGCACTGTCCTTGAAGTTGATTGGTCCACACCCGAGACGGCTTTCTTTAGAGCCTAGTCCCCATTGGTGTTGGACCAGATGACACCAGAAGGCGTACAACTCAAACACAGTGCAATATCAGAGTCTTGAGAGCTCGGGGTAATCATTTACACTATGAGATCTCTTTTACCAGTGGCAAAATATAGTAGTAGGTTTTTACCCTTTTAAACTGGTACAAAACTGACACCTTTATTCAAGGCATCATGTTTGCAATAACCACAACACAAGTAGTCAAAAAAGCAAACAAAAAGAAGCAACTCTGATAATGATAATAATATGCACTGTCCTTGAAGTTTATTGGTCCACACCCGAGACGGCTTTCTTTAGAGCCTAGTCCCCATTGGTGTTGGACCAGATGACACCAGAAGGCGTACAACTCAAACACAGTGCAATATCAGAGTCTTGAGAGCTCGGGGTAAGCATTTACACTATGAGATCTCTTTTACCAGTGGCAAAATATAGTATAGGGCTTTAGCTGGTAAAATAAACAAGAGTTTAGGGTCTGGATGAGGTGTGAGGAATGTGTGGCGAGGTGGAGGGGTGAATGAGGACGGGTGTAGGGGGAGACGCAGGGCGGCGAGGGTGACTTTAAATGATCCATGAAAAATGTTCCGAAGCAACCCCCCACATACACCCCAACATAATACTCAACCACACAGACTCGCCTCCTCGCCACACACACTCCGTCTACTCCACATCCTGCAGAGACCGATGCTTGGCACAGTCGCTAGCTCACCCACTCACTCACCCGTTCACCCACTCACTCACCCACTCATTCTCTCACCCACCCAATCGCCCACCCAATCGCCATCTTAACTGCTCACCCGCTAACTCACCAAATCGCTCATTTATCCACTCACCTGCTATTGCAATCCCTCATCCATTCACCCTACTGCTCACCTACCCATTTCTCTCACTCACTTCTGACCCATTCACTCACCTCATGCGCCATTTCAATAGGAATAATTAGTGTCTTGCCTCACGGCAGATGTGGAGCGTACGTTCACAGGAAGTTCCTGTTTTTTATGATAATTTTGGTCACGTGACCAGGAAGTCACGATGTTAGATTTCAGTGAACCACGCGGGCATGGGCCATCTTACTCATAATTCAAGATGGCGGCACGCATCGCATCTCAGTGAGACCACAGCCGCACTTGTCCATTGTGGGAGCTTAAGAAGCATTGTCTGTAAGTTTGTTTATATTCCTATAATATTGGCAATGCTGTTGTAATGTTGGAATGACCGTTATAGTGATGTAAATGCCTTTGTAGTAAGTATATATGGAGGCTTGACGACAGGATCGGAGGCACACTTATTTATTACACCAACACAGTTGTACAGGTCACTTGGCTACAGGGATTCTCGACAGCTAACCCCTCCAACCTATACCAATTCCTCCACTACGGGACTAGGGGAGGCTATCTGTCCCAGCTTGGTTAAGCTGGGATCCCGGCTCCCTGAGTCACCAGACCAGCTTCGTCTGGGCTCTCGGGGCCACGCCACCGGCTTGCCCTGGTCGGCCCTTATAAGGACAGCGAGCCAGGGGAGCTCTGGGGCCTACACTAGCTGGTCTTACGTCTTCTCTGGTTAAAGCTGAGTCCCGACCTCGAGCCCTCGAGCTCATCACCTTTTATAGGACTCGCCCCCGAGGGGGGGCCCGTGGGGGATACACATGCGGACGTCGGTGCTAGCGCCACCCTTGTGTACGGCCGTAACCCCGCCCCTTGTGTTTGTTGGCCATCCGTGGCCATGCATAATCACACCTCAACATTCGTAGCCATGCGCAATTACACCTCTACATCACCCCCCCCTGTACAGCTCGCAGCCGTCCCTGGCTGCAAAAAAAAAAATCAGAATAAAGGTGCATCCCTCACAAAAACCCCGTGTGTGTGCCTCGCGTAATTTTTAACAAGAACAAGAGAACCTTAACAAGAACAACAACAGGAAGAGAGAGAGAGAGAGAGGAAAAAAAATAACCCGACGCACCCCCCCCGAATAAATACCCCAAAACCAACATATATACACACACTCCGGACGCCACCCCTCCCATTGTCCGCAAGGCCCCCCAACGGCCGACCTCACAATAGTCTGCGCGTTTTGGCGCGCGTCCGCGCGGCGGGCCCGTCACAAGGGCCCGTCCTGGCACGCTCAGTGACGGTTGTTGACGGTCCGGGTGCAAGAGAGTCAGGCGTCGCTGCCGAGTGACCCCCGACCCCTCCGGGAGGGGTTGGTGGGTGTGGACCCGTCACTCCTGTTTCACCTGGGGACGGAACAGTTGGCGTCAGGTTAGGCGAGTGCAGCGACGACGGGGAGTCGGCGACACCCTCACACGTTTGGCCATGCGTGTGTGTGTGTGAACCACGGGGCGGCGCGACAAATGGTTTTAACCTTGAGGGGTGCACATACCACCGGCGCCTCCCCCATTTGACGCGAACACATTGCGGCCGCAAAACCTGCACGACCTCCACTGGCCCCC